AAAAATAAAATGTTTTAATTCCATAACCTTGTTTATTGAGCACAATAATTTTTTAAACAATTATTACTGTGTATAAATGTCCTTTGATAGCTAAAACTTGTATGCACATTTTGGGTATACTGTTAATAAGTTTTATTAGGTTTCGAGGTCCGCTTGTCCAAATAAATGCTTTTCAATTCATTAAGGTTTTGGTTGAGATAAAAAGTCAGTGTCACAAGCGGGATTCGAACCCACGACCCTCGGCTAAATACGCCGCTGCTCTACCACTTGAGCTATTTGAAGGGTTGTTATACTAAGGCGCTGGAGACAACACTTCCGCAATACCCTGATGTCGTGCGGGTTTAGTCTATATGACAACTCGGCCAATACTAGTCTTAAACCGTGTCAACGTTTCGATCTTTATTGAGATCATCTTCAGGGCTCAAAGTTTTTGTCTTCTGTGTAATTGTGCCATTCTTGCGTGTCGTGTCGAGAGTGCCAGTCGTGTTGGAATGTTATACTAAGGCGCTGGAGACAACACTTCCGTAATACCCTGATGTCGTGCGGGTTTAGTCTATTGACAACTCGGTCAATACTAGTCTTAAACCGTGTCAACGTTTCGATCTTTATTGAGATCATCTTCAGGGCCTGGGTTTTATAAACATTGTTTAAATTTTGCAAATGTGTAGGAAATTTTTTTTCTGAAACCTTCGTCACAACAGACCGCATCTCACGACCTCCAAATAATCATCAAGTAACGGACACTAACATCACACACTAGTCTTAAAGGCTTGAAAAACAAAAGATCAATTATAATCGTACATAAAGTTAGGAAACATCCCACAATATTGTTAATACACACACAACACCACAAAATACAAAATACATCGTGATAGATTCGGTAAAATTATATCAGATTGGTTAAAAATCTGAGATCGCTGTTGTCCGGCTTTGTCGTTAATATCTGACATAGGTCAATTTATACAGTCAATTTATATCTACATTTATATACCTGGGGTTAGGATCAAATTTACAGAATAATGCATGTAAGAAGAAACTCGGAATAAATTATAGCCTGCGTTAAAACGATCTGAATTTTCACAATATAATTTATATTGCTCTATTTATTTTTATTTCTCATTTTATTAACAGTTTATACATGCGTCCGGCAAAAAGGATGTCAATATTTAAGGATTTATCCTGCATGAAAAATTGAGCTAAAATATCCCAACTGTCTAAAGTCTTATCGTCAAATGTCCTTGAGATATTTCATTTTTCATGATACTTCAACCTTTCATAACTTTAGTCCATAACGTCACCTATATCTCATGAAATCTCATAAAAAAATCATCCAATTGAAAATTTGACTAAATAAATGGAATAAACATAAAAAATTACATAAAATTCTTCTTGTTTGTAACCCCAGGCAAAGAAAATACAAAATTATTTAGAAAATAATCTTTTACCAGATTCTAAACTTAGAAGCATTTCTCGGTCCTGTAAATACAAACAAATATGGCTATTACAAACAAATATCCCATAAAAATAAAATGTAATTACATTTACTTTATTTTTCTTAAATTAACTAATGATTTTTAAACAATTTGTTATCGAAAAAACCAAATATCTGTAGCAATTAAAGGTTAATTCAACACTGGTCAAACTAACCTTTGAAAAATGAATGATTATTTGTAGGTCATAAGTAAGTGTTCTGTAAGCGACATATATGTCAGAATTTTACAAAAAAAGGCCCACTTAAAATTAACAAAGAACTTTGGAAACCCATAAAATGTAATCTTCTAACTGATTTTGTATATTTTCCGTAAGGTTACTATTAAAAAAAGCAAATCTCATAAAGTTTCCATAGCTTTTTCTACCAATGTAATTAAATTTACAACATTATTAGCATTTTAGTAGTTATGGGTCTTTTATGTAAAGTAAAATATCTAACCACGATTGGTACTTAGACTTTGGGCAATAGGGACGTTTTGGTCTAATTTGAAGTGTAGAATAACATCCAGAATTAATGACAACGATAATAATATAACTCGCGGGACACCCTGTATAAATAAAAGGTTTCTTCAGGCTACTGAAGAAAGAAGAAAAAAACCGATTTGTATTTTAAAAATTAAAATGTAAAGAAAAAAATTGTATAAAAATATAATGAGTTTTCGTAAGGGATGTTGCGGGTCAAGAGATATCAAAAGAAGAAAAGGGTTTGAGGACTGGATTAAAAATGCCCTAGGATCCTTTTGTGCAAATATCTTTGGAATCAAGTTTGCAGCTTTATCAGATAACCAGACGCGGATACAAAATTGTGTCAGTCCTACAGAACACAATCGACTTTTATGTATTTACTCTTTCATTTATTTTTTTAATTTGAGCATGTTTATGTATACTAACATTTTAATTATCTTTATCAGATTATGCTTAATTATATAAATACTCAGGGGATAGGGGGAGTGGGGAATACGAGAGGCAGCCACAAAGGCTACTGCACCTCTATTGTGCTCCTCTGTTAATTATAACTAACTGGCCAGATTCAGGCTATTAACCAGCCTCCGCAGCTTTGCCAGCGGTTTCTTGGTGCAGGATCTTGCTTGTGGTGTTTCTTGTCCTAGTTGCAAAAACCACACCTACATAGACCTTCGCAGAAACATAAAATGTGTTCTGCGATCTTCTCCCCTTCCTGGCAGTATCTGCACAGTGTTTCTTCTGTCTGTTCTCCTATCCTGTGCATGTGCTTTCTTAGATGGCAGTGCCCTGTTAGGAGTACAACCAGAATCCTGGTTCGGTTGCGGTTGTCTTCCAGTAATTCTTTTGTAAGTTTTGCGGATGGTCCTTCCATGAATCTCTTTGCGTGCCTCATACCTGTGGCATTGTTCCACCAGGTTTTGGACTCATTAAGGATTCATTTTAAATTATATCCACTTTTGTGGCAGGCTGCTAGCCCGCAGTAGGGTTCTGGGCCAAGAGAGTCATGTTGGCTCCCTCTTTGGCCAACATGTCAACCTTTTCGTTGCCTCTATGCCCCGAATGTCCAGGGACCTATGCCAGGGTCAGGTCATTAGTGTCGTTGACTTCCGTCTGGGCCTCCATGCAGTTCCAAATATTCTTTGCCTTCGCCTCGCACCAGGCTGTCAGAGAAAATTGGTATCTTTCAGGAATGTATTCTTAGTCTTTTTATCTCTCTGGCGCATTGTTCAATCGCTATGATTCCAGACTGGAAAACTGTAGCATACTTGCCTAGGTTTACCGTCAGTTCGGTCTTGGGGTTCATCCCAAAGGCCCCAGCTCCCGTACCCTAGTAGGTTTTGGAGCCACCAGTATACCAGTAGGAATATTCCTTTATTGGTGCTCCCTTGACCCATTATTACCGTTCTGATATCAGTACTTTTTACTTCTTGTTGAAGTTGTAATTTGGAGCAGTGCCATCAATTGGCATACCTAGAATGGCATCTGCCGAATTTACTCCCTCAGTTTCTATTGTTTATTCCCATGGCCTATCCTAGCAGATGGTTGTCAATTTGTGATCCTGTGAGCTACTGCTCTGGCTTCTCCTTGGATTCAAATGTGAAGTGGCGGGAGGTTTATCAAAACTTACAGGGCCGCAGTTAATTAATTATAAACTCAATTAATTATATACAATTTTTTTCGAAATGAAAAATTTGTGGCACAGGCGGGATTCGAACCCACGACTTTCGGCTTGATACGTTGCTGTTCTACCACTTGAGCTACCGTGACTTCGATCGCCCATGGCACAAAAATCTCATTTCGGCAATAAATTGGAATAAAACGGGGAGTCGTAATGAGATTTTTGTGCCATGGGCGATCGAAGTCACGGTAGCTCAAGTGGTAGAACAGCGGCGTATCTAGCCGAAAGTCGTTGGTTCGAATCCCGCCAGTAACATAAATTTTTAATTTAGAAAAAATTGTGTATAATAATTAATTTAGCATGTTTATGTATGTTTATTATGTTATAAATATTAACAAAAGTATAGATTAATGTGTTTTATGTAACTCATAGAATTATATGGAAAGATTTTTCGACGTGCAGGTTGTTGATTTTTCGAGAAAGTACATATTGAAATAAATAAAAATATAGGACAAATAAGGCTAATAATGTTGTAAAATTGTTGATAATTACAAAGGGGATAAAACAAACCCTTATGAAACACTCAAAAGTCGTGCTGGTTTAGCTTAACGATTGAAAACAGTATCTTTAAATGTAAAAAAGTTTGACGATTTTTTTGAAGTTGATATTTTAAATTGGTTCAGATAGAATAGTGTACTTATATTTGGAATAAAATAATTTGGCAAATCCTAGGGTTTTCTCTATAAACAAGACTCGTTAGCGGAGAGGTCGAGGGTTATGAAAACGGTGTCATAAAACGTTATGGGTTCGGCCTGAACGGAGACCTAAGGGTGCAATCTCTCCCGTAATACCTTCCACCTCATTGTTTAGAGCGACCTGTAATTTTTCCGGATAATAGTCGTTGAAATTAACCACCCCTTTGTCTTCCACCCTTCCCCGCCGACTACTTAATTCCCCCAGAGGGCCTTTTGTCCTCGGCCGGTCGCTACCTTTCATCTTTTAAAAAGGGGCCGGGGGTGCGCCGCAACAAAGCGGCCCGAGGCGACAAATAAGACCGGCCTACGCCACTAGAAAAAAGGGAGAAACTACGATTATATATTCTGAAAATGCTCCTGCACCGTAATTGGTACTCGGCCTAAACAAAAGGGAACTCAAATTGGACAAAAACAAGGATAATGCGGCCATTTCTTTAAAACAAACTCTAATCTTATTAATCCGACTTTCTCTAATTTCTGGTTAATTTTTTTGTCATAAAACTAGTTCATTTTTTAAAGCATAATTGTTCTTCAGACAATGTAATTAAAATACAGATATTTCTTTTAAATAAATTTAATTTATTCTCTCTTCTTTCTCAAAATTACTTTTAAAATCTCTCTTTTAAAATTTCATTCGCATGTAATGTAACGTATGTGTTTTTCTGTTTCAGAACGACCCCGACAAGGAGAAAGGGACTTGGGACCGCAACTCATTATCGCACCCACAAGGTATTTATATTTAAGGTTGAACTTTTATTTCAGAACTTTGCCTTTTGGAGGAAGAGCCTCTCGTCTTGACTTCGTTTCAAATAAAAGCTACCGTTTAATTCTTGCTAAATTGAGCCGACAGTTGTGAGTGTTCGCCTGCTCATATATTCCGTTTTTGGTCATGTCTTCGTGTAAAACAGAGGGTTGTCGCAAGAAATTTCACAACGTGGTGTAAAAGAAAAAAATAACGAACAGAGTTTTTGTACTTTTCATGACCTTCGGTTGATTTTTTTTAATATTCTGTTATATTACTGTCTTGTGTGTTATTTAACGTAATAAAGAAAAATTTAAAAAATGTGTATGAAACTTCTTCTTTCTGGAAAAACATTAAAGATTAATGTCAAATATTCCCCCAGAGACAAAAAGGAAAAGGTCATTGCTTTAAGACAATTTCCTCGAAGAATCATTTTTTCCAAAAATTAATACAAAAACGTTTTATTTAAAAAAATTTCAACTTCCAGCCATGAAAAGTACAAAAAACGACAGGTTTTTTTGTACTTTTCATGACTTTTGGTTGACTTGTATTAATATTCTGTTCTATTACGGTTTTGTAGGTTACTGAACATAATAAAAAAACTTAAAAACTTGTATACAATTTCTTTTTCCTAGAAAAATATTAAAGATTACTGTCAAATATTTCCTCAGAGTCAAAAAGGAAACAAGGTCATTGTTGTGAGACAAATTCCTCTAAGAAATAGCTTTTTCAATATTTACAAAAAATCTTTCAAACTATAAAAAAAATTTTCAACTTCCAGTCATGAAAAGTACAAAAAAAGACAGCTTTTTTGTACTTTTCATGACTCTCGGTTGACGTTTTTAATATTCTGTTCTATTACGGTTTTGTAGGTTACTTAACATAATAAAAAAACATAAAAATGTGTATACAATTTGTTTTGTCTAGAAAACCATTAAAGATTACTTTCTAATATTTCCTCAGAGACAAAAAAGAAACAAGGTCATTGTTGTGAGACAATTTCCTCTAAGAAATATCTTTTTCAATATTTACAAAAACCTTTAAAACTATTAAAAAAAATTTCAACTTCCAGTCATGAAAAGTACAAAAAAATCTGTCTTTTTTGTATTTCTTGACTTTCGGTTGACTTTTTCAATATTCTGTTCTATTACGGTTTTGTAGGTTTCTTAACATAATAAAAAAACATAAAAACCTTTATACAATTTCACAGATTTTTTTTTGTACTTTTCATGACTGGAAGTTGATGTTTTAATATTCTATTATATTACTCTTTTGTCTGTAACGTAAATGACTTTTCATGACTTTCGGTTGATTTTTTTAAAAGATTCTATTATATTACTGTTTCGTATGTTACTTCACGTAATAAAAAAACGTAAAAAATGTGTATAAAACTTCTTCTTTCTGGAAAAAAATTAAAAATTACTGTCAAATATTCTGCCCAGAGTCAAAAAGGAAACAAGGTCATTGTTTTAAGACAATTTCCTCTAAGAAATATCTTTTTCAATAATAAAAACAAAAACTTTTATCTTTAAAAAAATTTCAACTTCCAGTCATGAAAAGTACAAAAAAAGACAGATTTTGTTGTACTTTTCATGACTTTCGGTTGAATTTTTTTAATATTCTGTTCTATTACGGTTTTATATGTTACTTAACATAATAAAAAAACATAAAAACGTGTATAAAATTTCTTCTTTCTGGAAAAACATTAAAGATTACTGTCAAATATTCCCCCATAGACAAAAAGGAAACAAGCATATGGTTTGAAGACAATTTCCTCTAAGAAATATCTTTTCCAATATTTAAAAAAAACTTTATTTGAAATTAAAAAAATTTTAACTTCAAGTCATGAAAAGTACAAAATAGACAGGTAGACAGGTTGTTTGGTACTTTTCATGACTTTCGGTTGATTTTTTTTAATACTATTATATTACTGTTTCGTATGTTACTTAACGGAATAAAAAAACATAAAAAATGTGTATGACTTCTTCTTTCTGGAAAAAAAATTAAAAATTACTGTCAAATATTCCCCCAAAGACTAAAAGGATACAAGTTCATTGTTAGAAGACAATTTGTTCTAAGAAATATTTAAAAAATATTATTATTAAAAAAATGAAAATGTCAACTTTTTAAGAATAAAGAAAAGAAACGCCATTCAATAAATCCTATAGAATTCCGTCTCCATGCCCAAACACAATCCTTTCAAACATTACATTAAAATGTTAACGTTTTAATACGGAATCCCTTGTCAAAACGTTTATTATACAAGAACATGGTGGGGTTTAAATAATTCAGAATACGTCACCACGAAACAGCCTCCTTCCAAGGTATGCGGATAGTAATGTTGGCAAGTTTATCTTTCTAAATCATCCTACCACTCGAGTGGCGTCGTATATAAAGCTGGGGAAATTATTCTCCTTGCTCCATTCTCTATTTGACAAACAAAAAAGACAGAAATGATGAAGGTGGGGCAAGTATGAAGATTCACATTTATTTAAAATCTGTGAGTTACACACAAAAAAAAAAATGGAGAAAAAAGTTTGTACGACCATTGCGGAACGTGGTAACGAGAACATGAAAATAAAGAGAATGCGTTTAATTTTTCAAAATGTGAACTATCATAGAAGTTTTCCAGTTTTGATGGCCATCACGTTCAGTATAAAACAGAAGTAAATTTAACTTTTGTCTAAATAGACATTTATACAAGCGACAATAGGTCTGATTTAGTCAAAGAAAACAGTTGATTGTTGATTTAGTTCAGATCAGATTTGATCTGACTTCAAAAGAAGGATGATCATCAACAAAAGCTCATTTATTACTTTATTAAACTTGCATACCTAATTAATAGCTGAGATAAAGCTGCGTTTCGTGGAAAAATCTAAAATTCACTTTCATGCTCAACTTTTAGACCTGGTATAATTTACTCATCCACGATTTTTCATCAGTGCTGATATTTTTCAAAAAAAACCTGTAGAAAATTAACTGTCGTTATTTTAAAGCAATTTTTTTAATTATGTTATTGATTGATTATCGTTTTATTTAACAATCACCCAAGGTTTGGTCTCTAGGACCACTTTTACAGCTAAAGTAAAATTACAGCAAAAGGATTTTATAACTCTACTCAATCTACTATACACAACAAAGTTGAACAAAATTAATTATCATTTACGAGTTATATACTTGTTTACAGTCGATTAAAACATTCAAAATAAAAAGTCATTTTTAAATAATAACAAACCTAACTTTTATCAGGAGAAAAAACTAACAATAGACATTTGTAAGGGTTTAACATTATAAACTTAAGTGACAGTTGTAAAAATAAATTTTCATAATCTTAACATGACAATCTTTGTACTTAATTGAGGAAAAAAATAGAAAATGATTAATACTAAATTTCTAGTTTCTAAAATTGTCTATCATTGTATAAATTCATTCTTTTTTCACATCTTACATGTATTTGTAAAATTTAAACAATTTTTATAAATCCCAGGCCCTGAAGATGATCTCAATAAAGATCGAAACGTTGTCATTATAAAGAAAAGTTTTTATAAATCCTACGTCACTCCAAACCGCACCTCACGATCTCCGAATAATCATTAATATTACAGTTTAATATTTTTACGCATATTTTGATATAAATGAATTTTTTATTTTTTTCTAAATACTCTTATTTTCTTACAATTCTGAATTTCAACTGGTAATTTTGAAAACACTTTTGAACTTTTAATTGCAAACGAATTATTAATTATTGTGGTTCTATGTTTTATAATTTGTAATTGGTTACTGTTATGTCTTGTGTGTATGTTATGTACATCAGGTCTACATTTTATTTTATTTTTTTACATATGCAAGTAGGTTTTTCATTTTTAACAAGTTGAAGATGATACATGCTAAACGGTAATAAATTAAATCATTAATTTTTAAAAACTGGAGTTGAGAATATTTGTCATAAATTCTATCATCATATTTTAAGTTAAGGATATATCTTACACACATATTATCACCCACTTTTGATTTGTATACAATTTAAGACAGACATTGCGGCTATTCCATATTTAACTAAACGTTTTTTGAAGTAACATTCGCAAAACTAACTAATTTTTTAACCTATAAATTGTAGAGTACTATTTATTAGTTGCATTCCAAATTTGTTCATTCCAGTTAAAATTTTATTCAAATTATCATACCTAAGCATTTTACAGTTTCTTCATAATGCAATTCAAAGTTTTTTGTTTTTATCTTTCGGATGTTTTGTATATTTACTTTTTGATGAGTATATCAGTATGTGGGTGAGGATATGAATCAGAAATTAGAAATGCAGTAGATAAAGATATACGAAAAATAATTTCACTCATTACTATAATTCGTCAATATTGATAATTCACTATAAAGCAGAAGGAGAAAGGAAATTAAATCACAGTATTTTTCAGTACAAATAAATAATCTTATTGGGCTCTGTAAAGAAATAGAGTGTACAAAAACAAAACGTCAACATTTGTGTACAAGAGATAATGACACTGATAAATGATCAAAATAGTTCATCAGCAATGACTGCTTTAACTAAAAAAAGGAAAGAAACTATCAAGGTAATGTTTACAGGAATGTACAAATTACCTTCGATGCTATAAATATAATTAAGATTACGCAGCATCAAAATGACAAAATAATGTACCAAAAATAATTTCAATTAATAGTTCGTCAGTATTGATACCTCACTATAAAGGGGAAAAAATTAAGACAATCAAATTTTCTAATACGGTGAAGTAATCAAAGATGATTAAGATGATAAACAAAGCAATGAAATATATAAAATAGCTGTGCGAGAGGTAATATCATTGATCACAATTATTCAGAAATCTTGAGGTGCGGTCTGGTGTGATGTAGGTTTCAGAAAAACATTTTCTTTATCGTGCCAACGTTTCGGTCTTTATTGAGATCATCTTCAGGGTTCAAAGTGTTTGTTTTCTGTGTAATTGTGCCATTCTTGCGT